GGTCTGTTTGATTATTTCCTCCCCCAGTTTGGGGAATTTTTCAGCAATTATTTCTTCCAAGATACTTTCCGTTCCTTTTCCTCCTCTTCTTCTGGTACCTCTATAATACGGATGTTGTTCCTTTTGGATTGGTCACACAGTTCTCTTAGTGTTGTTTCATTCCTGGAGATCCTTTTATCTCTCTCTATGTCAGCTTCTATGCGTTCCTGTTCTCTGGTTTCAGTTCCATCAATGGCCTCTTGCATCTTATCCATTCTGCTTATAAATCCTTCCAGAGTTTGTTTCATTTCTGTAATCTCCTTTCTGGCATCTGTGATCTCCCTCCGGACTTCATCCCATTTCTCTTGCGTATTTCTCTGCTTCTCTGTCAGCATGTTTATGATTTTTATTTTGAATTCTTTTTCAGGAAGACTGGTTAGGTCTGTCTCCTTCTCTGGTGTCTCTGTGATCTTGGTTTGCCTGTAATTTTGTCTTTTCGTGGTGATAGGAATAGTTTGCAGAGCTGGGACTAGTGACGGCTGGAAGAACTTCCCTTCTTGTTGGTTTGTGGCCTTCCTCTCCTGGGAGAATAGCAACCTCTAGTGGGTTGTGCTGGGCAGCTGCACGCAGACAGGGCTTCTGCTTCCTGCCCGGCTGCAATGGAGTTTATGTCCACCTTTGCTGTGGGTGTGGCCTGGCTCAGGCTGCTGCTCCAAAGTGGTGGAGTTGCATTGTAGTGGGAGCAGCCGGGAGGCTGTTTATCTCCGTAAGGGGCCTTCGTGCTCCCTGCAGCCCAGGGGATTAGAGTGCCCAGAGATCCCCAGATTCCCTACCTCTGGACTAAGTGTCCTGCCCTGCCCCTTTAAAACTTCCATAGAGCACCCGCCAAAACAAAACAACAACCACAAAAAAAACCAAAAACAAACGACCACTCATTTTTCTTTATTCTCTGGCGCCAGCCTTGGGCACCCACTCACTCGACTTGCTGCCCTGTTTCCCTAGTATTGGGGTCCCTGTCCCTTTAAGACTTCCAAAAAGCACTCGCCACAACAAAACAACAACAACAAAATAAATAAATAAAGGTGGCCGCTCACTTTTCTTTTGTCCTCCGGCACCGGCCTCTGGTACCCGCTCACCGTTCTTGCTGCCCTGTTTCCCTAGTATCCAGGGCCCCGCACATGCACTGTGTCTGTACTCTGGTCCGGATGGCTGGGGCTGGGTGTCCAGCAGTCCTGGGCTCCCTCTCCCGCCCGCTCTGACTCCTCTCCTTCTGCCGGGAGCTGGGGGGAGGGGTGCTCGGGTCCAGCCGGGCCGGGATTTGTATCTTATCCCCTTTGTGAGGCGCTGGGTTCTCGCAGGTGTGGATGTGGTCTGGATGTTGTCCTGTGTCCTCTGATCTTTATTCTAGGAAGAGTTGTCTTTGTTATATTTTCATAGATATATGTAGTTTTGGAAGGAGATTTCTGCTGCTCTACTCACGCCGCCATCCTGGCTCTGCCCTTCTCCCTCTGAGTCTTATAATTATGATTTGGAGTCTTTTTATTCAGTTGTAAATATTTTGTATTTCCCATTATGATTTCCTCTTTGACTCATGAGTTATTTAAAAGTATGTTTTAAAATTTATTTTAGTTTTTGTTAATTGAATTCTGACTACTGCACTGTAGTCACAAGTATATTCTACATGGGGCCTGGTGTGTGGTCATTTTGTCAATGTTTCTTTTATGCATTAAAACGTGTATTCTCTTCACTACTTAGAGTTCTGCCATTAGTCAAATTTTGTTACCAAATCAATTTTTTCTTATTTTACAGATTTTAAAATTGACTGTTTTCTAATTTAAATATTTTAATTTTTTATTGAATATAGTAGATATACAATATTCTATTGGTTTCAGATGTACAACATAATGACTCAACAATTAATGTATGTTACTAAGTGCCCACTGCAATAGGTGTAGTTATCTTTTCTCAACGAACAGGGAAATTACAATATTATTGCCTATATCCCCGATGCTGTATTTCCATCCCTGTGACTATTTTATAATTTGAAGAGAAAGTTAGTATTTTAACTTCTTAATTGGTAATATATTTACATGGCTCAACTATTTAAAAACATAAAATGTATATGATGAAAACTCTTCTTCCCACAATGCCCTCATCTGCCTTTTTTCTAGCCCATCTATCCCATAAGAAACCACCATTATTAGTTTTTTATGTATATTTCTAGATACAGTTTTATGCACATGCAAGGAACTCTGAATATATTTTCTTGTCCAATTTCCCCCCAATAAAGAGTCTTCTAGTATATGTATAGTTCTGTACCTTTTTCACTTAATAGTAGATCTTGATATTTTTTCCATATCCTTACAGAAAATTTTCTCATTCTTTTTTTCCCTCAGCTATATAATCCTTCATTGTATGGATATACTATAATTTACTTACCTGTTCCCAAAGATGTATAATTAGGTCTTTGTAGTCAGTATATATTTTTATTTGTACATCTTTTTCCATATGGTCAAGTATATCTATGAGATAAATTATTAGTGTTCTTGGGTCAGAGAATTGGGGTTTAAGTTTAATAGATATTGCCAAAATGCCCTCCACTGGGGGTTTCATCATTTACACCCCACCAGCAATATTCTAAAATGGCTATTTCCTCACAGCTTTGCCAGTTTAGCGCATTATCAAGTGTTTGGGTTTTTGCTAATCCAATAGTGAAAAAATAATATATTGGTTTTAATTTGCTTTCCTCTTATTATGTAAGAAGTTGAACATATTTTCCTGTATTTAAGAACCGTATTTCCCTTATATGTACCATCTGTTTATATCATTGGCCAGTTTTTCTATGAATAACCTAATTTATTGTCCAATATATCTGTAATTGAAAGACATATGTTAAAATATTATAGTATGACAGTGAATTTATCAAAGTTTCTTGTTATTCCATTAATTTTTGCTTTATATAGTTTTTATCTTATTTGTGACTTTGTTTCGTTATGGTTTATTTTATTATAATGTGGTGATTTCTTTATCCCTTATGTCTTTTGCTTTCATTTGTCTTACTGTATTATACCAGCTTTCTTAGAGTTAGAATTTGTCTGGTGTGTCTTTTCCCATTCTTTTGTTTTAAATATGTCTGTGTCCTTATGTTAAATGTCTCTCTTTTTAATAGTGTAAAGCTGGATTTCTTACTTGCAGTTTGATGTTCTCTTTTAAACTAGATCATTTAGTATGTTTACCTTCATTATAGTTACTGACATTTTGATTTACTTATACTGTCTTTTTGGTCAACTCTTTCAATCTTTGATATTTCAAAGTGTATTTGTTGTTTCACTCTCTCAAAGGTTCTTTGCCAGCTGTATTATTCTAGTTCATTTTTTTCTTTCTTTTTTTTTTTTGGTCAGTTCTTTGAAAGTATTTTTCTACCAGTCTTCTAGATTCTCAAAGCAATATGAGAATCCTCTCTTTTCTTAAAACCTCAGTGTTTTTTTGAACATTGACAGGATTTTGATGATATTAAGGAAAGACAACTTTTTTAGGTGATAAAATTTTAAAAATCTTTATATGAAATAATTACATGTGAAATGATTTGCTATATATTTATTTCATAATAATGAAATGGAGAAAGTGGGATCTAAATAAAATAAGATTGTCTTTTGGTTGGTAGTTATGGAAGGTGGAGGATATAAACCTGTAGGTTCTTTATCTCTATCTTGTCAAATTGTATATAAATTTGAAACTTCTCATAATTAAAAAGTTAAAAAAGTAAAACTTTTAATAGCTCCCATTCCTTTTAGGATAAAGAATAACATCTTTAAAGTGGCGAGTTAATTAGGGTAGTTTAAGTGCTGTAACAAGAAGCTCAAAAGGTATAGTGGCCTGCCACAATAGAACTATATTTTTTACTTGGTGAGACAGGTCACATAGTAGGAACATCGTGACAGCCTTCTTTAAGGTGATATAGTGATCTGGGCTCCTTCCACTTTGGGCTCTACCATCCCCTTGGGCCTAACAGTTCTCTGCTGAGACTCCTGCCTGCCAGCCAGCAGGTGAGAGAAGAGAAAAAATAGAAAATATTGTGATGGGGGGGGATCGTTACAGGCCAGACCTGGAAGTGATGTAGATCACTTATATCCATACTCCATAGGCCGGACTCAGTGGTTGCTTCTAACTGTAAGGGCAGCTGGGAAATGTGGCTTAGTGTCGTGCTGGAAAGAGAAATGGATTTGGTAAATAACACTAGTCTCTCCATTGATGATGTGCTTACAGCATTTTGCATAATCCAGCCCTTGGGTATGTGCGCTACTCACCTTCTCTTGTTACTGCCACTTTGTTTTTGCTCCCTAGGCTCTAAAATTGTACTGGGCTCCTGTCAGTTTCTCAACCATGCCAACTGTCCCTTCCTTTTCATAGCCTTTGTTTACCCTGGAATGCTTTACCTCCCTGCTCTATCTAGTTCTTGCTTCTCATTTTTCAGGTCTTAATGATCATTAAAGCATCAGCTTTTCTGGTTATATGTGCTCACAGTCCCTGGTGTCTTAACTTCATACCCTTACTTCTATAATACAGCTCTGCAGTCCCTTAATTTCAATTTTGAAATCTAGAAAGCTCAAAGGACCAAAAGTTGTTTTTTCTTCATAAATATGCAACAAACTTATTTGGTGGCAAATAGCTTACCTAAATTGATGTGCATTTATCAATAGTCCAACCCATTTCATATGACTTGCTGCAGAATATATTGAGTTTGATTATGGGGTGTCATCCAAGATTGCTCCAGATATATTCTGAATTTGGAACATACCTAACCCCAAAGATTTTTAAATAAGGGATTACGGACCTCCAATACATCTCTTTGGATGATTATGTTAAGTGTATATCTCTCCAACTAGACAATATGGACAGTGAAGTCAGAGACCATAATGTGATAAATCACATAAACTCATTATATCATAAAATAAAAGAGTATTGTATTTTGTAGGATATTGATTGGCCTAAGGACTTTCTTATTGTTTTACTTATTTCAGGTGATTCATTGGAAAAATTCCCTGCCTCTAGAAATTGTCAGCTTGGTCCACATCACCAGAAGTCTAAGTCTCTGAAACCTCTCTCCATGTCACAGCTGAAGCAATGGAAACATTTTTCTGGAGATCATTTAAATCTTACAGATCCTCTTCTTGAAAGAATAAGAGAAAATGTGTCATTCTTTTTTCAGAATATAACCAATGAAACTATTACTATATAATGGAAGGTGACTTCATAACATTCCCTGCCCTCCCCCTTAAAAAAGTTAATATAGTAATTAATTGTAGGTTTGAAAACATAGATTTGAATTACAACTATATTTTGTTGCAGATATCTCATAGTTTTGATATAAAATCAAATTGAGTTTAATTTTTTTGTATATGTTCTCAAATATTGAAACATTAAAGACATACTTTTATTATCATGTAATTGTTTATCAATGATTCCATAATTATGCACATTTATTAATTAACCACTAAGGAATTTTCATAAGGAATGGGAAAAGGTAAAGTACCTAGTCTCTTTGAGAAATCTAATCATTTATAATATTAGACATAGATATATGAGATAATTGAAAATTTTGATCTGTTAAACTATAGCTCAAGAGAGAGAATCAGAGACTAGGATTGCCAGTGCTGAAGATGCTGGATGTAAGAGCTGTTGCAAGGCGGTGAGAGTGGGAATGGTCAGTGGGTGGGGCAGGAGATGAAGGATTATGGGATACTTCAGAGCATTAGTTACTAGTCTGAGACGTCAGACTCACTGGAGACTGACATGCAGTTTACAAAGCCACATCCACCAAACATTGTACAGCGAATAAACAAAGGTACTACTACCATCACGTTGAGGGCTGTCTGCAGTCATTTTTGACATTAAAAAGAGTTTTAATTCACAAAGCAAACTTTAGAAGACTGAAGTCTGCAAAGAGAAGGGTGTTACACAGTCTCCAACTGGGGCTTCTGTAATCAGCTTGTGCTCCCATTTAGGAAAATTTCTTTTAGACTGATAATGCCTTGAGGTGTTGAATGGGCTCAAGTATGTATCATCAAATCAGAGCTATTTAGGTTTGTAGTTTCACATAGTTAAACAGGCAGTTTGGGACCAAGTTTATCAGTGTGGAATGTCAGTGAATATTAAGCAAAAATGGTGTTCTTGGCCCTATCTAGAGGCCCCAGATTTGAGGCTTTACCTATAAAACTTCTTTCAATATCTATTTTGTATCACATTATTCTCAGGTGTAAAATCCTTAGAAAAATACAAAGATGAGAGGCTAGCAACTTTATTGTCCATCCTAACTGTAGCTGTGCTAGTGTGCCTCGCAGTCGCCCCCTCAGGACCTGTGTGCTTCTTTCCACAGCTGCCTGAGACCACTCAGCCATCCCTCCTTAAGAACAGTCCTGAGCTGAAAGGAGCTGCCTCACCCAAGGTTACGCTTCTTCCCCAGGGCAGCTGGCGACCTGTGATCTGTTGGTGCCTGGTAGAAAGGACCTCAGTTCAAGTACCGTTCCAGCTCCAGAGCTCCTCACGTGAGGCCTTTGTTGTAGTTTCATTGTGGTTCAGCTTCTCTGTCCAGCTCTGCTTCCCTCTCTCCCTTACAAATGTTCTTAAGAGCACTTCCCAACAAACTCCTTGCATGTAAATCTGCCTCATCAGTTTTCCAAGGAACCTGACCTAAGACCCTATCCATAGGGTAACTGAGGAAAAGCATTTTAATAATTATAATTGATGGCTTCCAATTGTAAATACTTCTTGGCAAAATAATCATTTGATATAATGAGTTGATAATATGAAAGTATAGAAACAAGTGTAAGTTTTGCTTTATACTGCATTTAAAATACAGACTGTGCCAAAAAGAATTGCCACTTGTACATTCACAGTGTGCAGCCATCACCATTACCCATTTTCAGAAGAAAGTTCTCTTAATGTTTCCCTTTCCCACTTCTTGGTCACTTGCAAAGCTGTTGGCCTCCTATCAGTGTGCAAGGCCTCTATTCCAGTGACTCCCTCAATAACAAATGTCAATGAACACTTCTCAGTCTTTATCTCAATTTCTGTCCACAGCAGGTATTGGTGAACACTTCTTAAACTCCTGCCTTCCTTAATTTTGATTAAATGATTAAGTTCATTTGTCATCCCATAAATATCTTTGATTGATTACCCAATACCTGGCAAACTTTGACCTCAAGGTTGTGCATACAACCATGAATACAATAGGCAAAGTTTCTGTCCTTATGGCGCTTTCATTCTAGCATACGGAGAACCATATGCATATGTAAAGTGGCACATGATAACTGCTCTGAAGACAAATAAGCAGAATGAGGGAGATACTGAAGAGTGGGAATGGGGATGGGCTATGCTGTTTATATAGGACAGATTTATGCAGAGACCTGAAAAAAGTGATGGACTGAGAACCATGACATTGTCTTGGGAAATGTTCAGACAGAAGGAACCAAATGCAAAGGCCTCGAGACAGGTGAAGGAATGTGTGACATGTTTGAGAAACAGCCAAAGGCCGATGTGGAGAGATTAAGAGTGGTAAGAGATGAGGTAGTAGTGGTGGGGAGATCAAATGAAACAGGTCATTGAAGACCATTTTCAGAGCTTTAGCTTTTACTTTGAGGGAAATGGAAAACTGCCGGGATTTGAATCAAGGAAAGACATGATCTGAATCTCTCTTTGATGAGAACAGATTATGGTGGAACATGGGGTAGAAACAAAGAAATGAGTATGGGGCTTTTGGAATAATCCAGTTAAGAGGTGATGGTGATGTAGACTAGGTGGTAGCAGTGAAGTGTTAAGGATGGTGGGATTCTGGATATTTTTGAAGGCAGAGCCAACAAGATTTCTCAATGGATTGATTGTAGGGAAGAGAAAACTCAAGAATGATTCCAGGTTTTTGGCCTGAGCCAAAGGAGGGATGGTATTGCCAGTCACTGAGATGGGAAGTCTGTAAGAGAAGAGATTTGTAGGGGAAAAATCCCTTTGATTATGTCTACTTTGATAGGTCTGTTAGAAATCCAGGGGAGATGTCAAATAAACAGTTTGATAAATGAATGGGGTTCAGAAGCATTGGTCAAGGATGGAGAAATATTTGAGATTTGTCAGCATGTAGATGGTATTTACAAAGTCATGAGATTGAATGATATTACCTTGGTAGTAAGTATAGGTAAGAAGGAGATAAGACATCCAAATGTTACAGTGATAGAAATAATAATGGCAAACATTTATTAAGTGCTTAATACTAAGTGCTTTGCAGATATTAGCAACCTATGAAATGGGGTTAGTATTGTCTTACATGAACTGAGTTTTCCATTCTGTTCAATATTATGTCCAATGGTAGTTGTGAAATGTAAATAATATATGGGTAGTAAGCTAGAGAAATACTACCTTGACTGCTTGTATCAGAATTCCTCTTAGTCTTTATTTGGAAAAACACCCTATTAGAACTTGGGTGAGTCTCTCAAGATTGTAGGTTTTGGTTGCTGTCAAAGTGTAATACAGGGAGAAGAATTTGGAATTATTTGGAATTTTAAAGAGAATCTGAGAGGGAAGGGTAAGGACAGAGAAAAATGAAAATATGGAGGGAGGCCTGACCAGGTTAAATGGAGAAACTTACAGCAATGGGAATGGGAGGATCTTTAAATAACAATTGCTCTCCCTTTAGTTATTTGCTAAGTAGGGTGGTAAGTGGCCCTCCTGTCATCTCTGCCCCACCCTGAAATCTTGCTGCAGTTTCAGAAGAGGCTGAGTTTCTTGAGGGAATCCATGTGACATGGGGCAGAGTCATCCTGTGTGACATGGTAGCCCTTGGGAATTGAAAATTCAGGACTTTGACAGGCCAGGAATTTGTGGGGGTTCAAACTCATTTAATCCAATGTTAAAGGGCACCCAACTGACATCTGGCTTGCATATATAAAGTGCCTTTTCTGTGGAATTCGCTCAGCTTACAAGAATTCCCTTCTTTTTTTCTTTCTCTCTGTCCCCAGTCCATAGCTCTGCTATGGAACACAGAATATAAGTCCATACTGTTTATTTACCTGGCTCCCTCTTTCATTAGGCTGAATTTTTGAGGACAGGAATTTTATCTTACTCATCCTAGTATCTCAGGACCTTGTGTGGTCCTTGGCACAAAACAGCTACGTTTAAGTAGGAGAATGAGTGAATGAATGAATGAGGCACTTCACCTCTTTTTCTTCCTTAACCTCTGTGATTGAGTTCCTTGCTTATAGATCTCATTTCTCAGGTATTTATTAAGCCAACTGCTGACCATGGAGTTGTGCTAAACACTGAAGAAAGCAGAGCCAGCAGATTTTTCTTGTCTTCTGGCAGCATAACAGACTTCCCTTTTTCCTTTATGATTTTTATCAATATGCTGCATGAGCTGACAAAAGCTGTCATGACTGTGGTTATTACTTGAGTCACATAATTCACTTCTAATTACACAAATACACCTTTGACATATATTCATGTGAAAATGTTCTTGCTCTAAATGACAGCATAAATACATTTTAATCACATTCTCATTTGGACTGAATCAGTAATGATGAATTAAAATGTTGAGCTGCTCTAATCTGCAGAGTTCAACTTCCCGACAGCCTTTCCATCCATTTAACAGGGTGTATGATAAAGGAGCAAGTCAAAAAATTCTGCTTGTCATTTTGTTTGCATGATGCAATCATGGCCTGTGTCACATTGCCTGGGCAACTTAATGTAATATTAGGTTGAAGATTCAAATTCTGTGGCTTGGAGATAATAATATATATATAATCAACAGATGGCACTGTTTCTCTGAGTTGGTCCCAGATGAATCTACTGGGTTCTGGAGGGGTTTGTGGACAAGCTCTTTTTGTTGCTGAAGGAAGGTCTCAACAAAGGGATATTATTTTTTCTTACCTTGTATGATACAGGTTTTTTTGGTTTAGACCCTTTCCTGTGGCACTCTTCTATAGCTGGCCTGTATTTTTTGCTTCAAGCTATTACAAACTTCCATCTGTAAGATCCTTTGTTGTCCACAAAATCAATGCCAATTCAGAATACAGTTTTCATGACAAAATACTAAAAAAAGATTCCTTATTGGCATAGATTGATTTGTTGGAATTTGTTACATTTACTCGAAAACCTGAGGTGTTAAACATAATTTAATCTTCATAAAAAAATTTTTTAGATTTATAAAAAAATTTTGAATCTCTTTTTGAGTAAGAGGATAAGGAAAATCTGATAAAAGCAGAGCAAAACAAACAATTTATTTATTTTTATTTTTTGGGGAACCCTCAGCAAAATATTGAAGACATTTTCTGAGTAGTTTTAAATATTTATGTCACAATGAGACATAGCATGGAGTGCAGGTAGAAGCCCATTTCAACATCTTTTCCTTCATCTTTGCTGTTATCTGTATTTTTACCTTTATGGAAATATTTGGTACACATAGA